TATTTATTTGAAAGAATAGTTTTATGTTGACCAAGGCTGCATTTATTTGATAAAAAATGCTTTAAAACAGCAATATTGTGAAAAAATATTACAATTGCAATATTTTAATTATTAATTATTGTTGTAATATTTTTATAATGTTCACAATTTATATTTTTTTCCCTGTGATGGCAAAGCTCAATTTACACATTTTGAATGTTGTTTGGAAACCATAATAATGTTTTTTTTTTTTTTTTCAGGATTCTTTGATGAATGTTTGATGAATAGAAACAGCTTTAATATAACTAAGAAATATTTGGTAATATACTGTCACTTTTGATCCATTTACAGATTTTCTGAATTGCTAAAACGCTAAATCCCAATCTCTGAACCAAATTCTCACTAGCTTAAACCAGTTTGTCGAATAAAGCTCTCTTTCTGCTAAACCTTAAACACGTTCAGGCAGTTAGGCTCTATTTGCAGATCTCATGCAGTCTTTTTGCAAAACTCTAAACACATTCTCATTCACTTAAACACTTATCATACTGTGATGCATTTGTGCTGTAAAATGCTAAACACAAGCGGCAAAAGTTAAAGGAACACTCCACTATTTTTGAAAATAGGCTCATTTTCCAACTCCCCTAGAGTTAAAGTTAGTTTTACCGTTTTCGAATCCATTCAGCCGATCTCCGGGTCTGGTGGTAGCACTTTTTGCTGTAGCTTAGCATAGATCATTGAATCTATGCAGCAGCAGGCACAATGATATTACACAGTGCCTGAAAATAGTCCCCAGCTAGGTAACTTCCAATAAACCTATTTTCAGGCGCTGCGTAATATCATTCGCCTGCTGCACCCATGGTACGGCAGCAAAGTTCCTTGATTATTACGCCGGAATGAGAGTATAGTTCCTAGCCATATCGGCCTAGAAAATCGCAACTTTTCATTTTCCGTCGGTCTTAGTACACGATGTAACTACAAAAGAGTCAATTTTTAAATAGGAAAAATATAAAAATCTTTGGTCATTTTTGAGCGAGATGCTAACGGTCTAATCAGATTCAATGATCTATGCTAAGCTGCAGCTAAAAGTGCTGCCGCGAGACCCGGAGATCGGCTAAATGGATTCGAAAATGGTAAAACTCAACTGTTTAACTCTAGGGGAGTTGGAAAATGAGCCTAGAGCCTTAAACACAACTAAAGCACAGTTGTCATCGTTTACACACAACGATTCTAAATTGTTCACACTTGTTTCTAATGATGTGATCAAACCAACTGTACAAAATCTGAGCCAGTTCAGAGTGCACAAGTGGCACAGGTGACTGAATGATGATACTTGTTCACACTTGTTTCTAATGATGTGATCAAACCAACTGTACAAAATATGAGCCAGTTCAGAGTGCACAAGTGGCACAGGTGACTGAATGATGATACGAACAATAGATGGAAACAATCTGAGAAGGAGAGGAGGAAGAGTACATGTAAGAAGTAGAGGATGAGGAGAGAAAGAGTAGGGTTTAGAGAGTTTTATCAAGGCTGGATCTGTCAGACCAGAGGGATTTTTCTCGCAGAGGTTTCGTGAATTTAGTTTGAGTATTTGGATTTGTGTTTAAGGTTTTGAGGAAATGAGTGATGGTTTCAAAAAACATGTTTTAGCAATTCAGAAAAACTGTAATGCAAATCAACCGTACTGTAAATATGTTACGTTGTTGTATGTTATTGTTAAGTATGTTAAGCTGCTAAAAAAAAAAAAAAAACCCGGCACACATAGATATTTGCCTGCTGCCTTGATTTTGCTAAAAAATATTCAGAGAAAAAAAAAATATATATATATATATTGATGAGCCAGAAATAGAGGTCCTTTCCCAGCTTCCCGTTTCAATAGAAATCAAGTCATTTGACATTCTATCGTGGGTTTAATGGTGTTTCTCTGGAGTGCATGCTCAAGTGTGCAAATCCCCATCTGTCGCTTGTTCTCACAAACACAAGGGCTTCCCCTTCTAAATGAACATGTGCTGCTGTAGATTTGTCTCGGTGGACCGCAGAGCCTAAAGGGAATCCAGTGCGAAGTCTTAACAAGGCCAAACTGTGAGCTCTTAATTAGGAGATACCCATAGAGAGAAACAGACACGAGTGGTAATGTGGGTGAAAATGATATGATGATAAAATGATGCAAACTGGCAATTTCAAATGGAGAAAAAAGTATTTAAAAGTGCACAATGATGAAGGGGAGACAGAGCGCTCGGAGGGACATGTATAAATTACCAGTGCTTAGTCAAAGAAATGTAAATGTAATGAGGGAGTAAGCTGGAGAATTAAAAGTGTTAAAAGCACCAGTAGATTTGGGACTGACTGAAGCTGTAGAATTAAATTCAAACATGCTGACTGAGACACGCTCTCCACTTAACCGAATAATACTCTACTGGAGGTGTAAATGTGTGTGTGATACGCCCATGCACACCTGCAGGCATGGATGCATAATAAACCTCTTTTTGAGCTCCGGGCATCCAGTCCTCTGGCGTTGTTTGATTAACGTCAATTAAAACGTACAGATGGTGAAGTATTGTACAGGGTGTTTGAATTAATTACAACCAATCAGATCAAGACAAGAATAGATTGGGCTGTTTTTAACTTTTGCTGCATGCATACAGCAGCGTCTAACTAAATCTGCTCATTCAGATCATCACGCCCTGTCTGTGCAGGAAATGAGGACAGATGGTTTCCTGGAGCGGCCAAAGTGAAAATACTGATAATCAGAGTTAAAATTTGTCATTTAACCACACATTTGTGTCGCACCTGCTATGTGCTGTATATGCACCCTGGATAGGAATTATAATACCTCAAATTTTATGGCTTTTAAGTAATCAGACTTAATGTACAAGAAAGAAAAAGACATTTTTAAGAGTGACTCTAGAGTTCTAGAGACCAGAATATCAAAGAGACTTGTGGGTGTGAGCTTTTTTGGACTTGGGCCCATAAGCAAAAACGGTCAGAAAGCAACTTCATAGCAACCCCCTGACATCCACCCAGAACACCACAGCAACAGCATAAGCTGCGTTCCGATTGAGAGTGTCCATACGTGTTGTTCACTGCCCCCTGAGCACGGGATATCTGTTGAAGTTCACTTGACAAAATGTGTTCATTTGGAACACCCTGCAAAGTTATCAAACATAAACAACCCTTGAGTCATGTATATTAGAGGAGTTTGAGCTAGATGGCATAATGTACTTATGTTCAATTAATATACTTGTAGAATGCATGTAGGTGTACTTATATAAATATGAATGTATTATTCATTTAGGGCTATAAATGTCTTATTTTAAAGTGCTAAACGAAGTCATAATCGTCTGATGTTTAATATGAAAATTAACGTAATTGGCTTATATTAGATGTGTCATTTCTCTTATTTAACCATAATCATGATGCATGTTGCATTGTAACTTCCACTTCACACACATTATATCTGCAAAGAACACATACAAACAACACCTGGGACTAATTAAACTATGTTTCACTGGCTTGATTTTATTCAAACTTCTGTAAATACTAGGTTGATGTGCAAGGACTGGTGGGTAATTTCCCTTTCCACTTCCTGTGAAGTGATTTATTTATGTTCCTTTTTCCCTGTGTTGTTCGCAGTGCCCTTCAAACTAAACATGTACGCTCCCTTCAGATTGGAATTTAGCAAAAAATGGCACAATACCATGTGAAGTCCACTTTGTAGGGCACTTATGGTCGAATGGAACACACCTATAGTGACACACACACACACACACACACACACACAAAAAAGCCTTTAGAAACCACAAAGCAATATGCTTAAAGTGACACTGAACACATAAGCAACCACTTAGCAACCTCCTGCCAACAACTCGAGTGGCAGCAAGTTTTACATAGGCAAACCCTTCTCAGAATTATAAAAAGAATGAGTTCCTTATGAAAGCAAATTATTTTTTCTTTGTCAAAATAGTATTAAATTTCCAAATCGATCTCTATTCCAAAATAGTCTTAAAGGGATGAAAATTCTGTCGTTAATTACTCTCATGTTGTTCCAAACCCATAAGACCTTCGTTTATCTTCGGAACACAAATTAAGATATTTTTGATGAACTCTGATCTATGCATAGACAGCAATGCAATTGAAACGTTCCCAGGCCCAAAAAAAGGTAGTAAGGACTGCTTAAGTAGCTTCATAAAATTATAGTTGAAGCACTTGTCACATGGACTATTTTAACAATGTCCTTAACTACTTTTTTTGGCCTGGGAACGTTTCAGTTGCATTGCTGTCTATGCAGGGTCAGAAAGCTCTCAGATTTCATCAAAATTTTAATCTTAATTTGTGTTCCGAAGATAAATGAAGGTCTTACAGATTTGGAGCGACATGAGAGTGAGTAACTAATTAATTACAAAACATTTTTGGGTGAACTATCCCTATGTTCCATTGGCAAACCCTACTCATTTCCTTTTTCTTTTTTTAAGAAATGTAAAAAACCTAGTTTCTTATTAATTCAAATGCTTATTTCTTTTTTCTTTTCATACATTCCTAAATTCTGTCGTTATTTCCTATTGCCCTACTATAGGTGATGCACTTTTTTCCCTGTCTGCTCAGTTTTCCATCACACATCAGCGGCACATGAATGGAGCAATCAGCCATTCATTATGAAACAGGTGCTCTGACGCATGCTATGCAATCCCCATGTGATATTAAAGTGCTTAACAAGTGAATAATGATTTCATGGGCGGTTAAGAGACCCGTCCCTCTCTCTTACTGGATGAGATTCACAGCCATTGACCAGCACTGGCCACATGAGGGCGCTAAGGTTGCTGGAATGATTCAGTTTCCTACTCTCTCCTTTGTGCTCTCCCAGAATTCACATTTAGACTTGCACTTACTTTCTCAATGGAGGACAAATGGAGAAGAATGAAGCACCTGAGTATTTTGAGTGACCTGCACATAGCCTGCTTCCTGTTTGTTCATCCTCTAGTGTTTTGTAAACATGACTCATTGTATTCCCCTGTTGTTCCCAGAATACCTTCCGCTTCCCAGCAGCTTGGCTGACCATGTTTGACGCCGTGTTGATCCTCATGTTGATCCCCCTCAAAGATAAAGTGGTGGACCCCATCCTCAAACGCAAAGGCCTGCTGCCCTCCCCTCTAAAGAGAATCGCTGTGGGCATGTTCTTTGTCATGTGCTCGGCGGTGGCAGCTGGTGAGTCAACAACACACACACTATATGACACGTATGTAGTGTATTATCAACACACACAACAAAGATTTATGGCTGAGTCTGTGAGCCTGTGCTTTTTGTTCTTCAGCTTGCTCTCTTGCCACACAAACTGTCTGTGTGTGCCGATTTGTGGGCTGGATGTATCAAGCTTCTTTATACATATTCACAAACTGAGACTCATGTGGGAGTGTTTGAGTGTGATAGCAGACATTTGCATACACATTTTAAATATATGTGTTCATTTTTGTGTCAAAAGGCCCGTCACGGTAGTGAACTTTAATTTCAGACTTCATAAGGTTCATATGCTGTGTGTTCTGTTATATGTGACATACTGTAACACACACATGCTACAAAACATTGAGACCTAAATTACACAATCATATATTCTTAACTCTAGGGCTGGGTATAGCCAACTACTTCATGATATGATACACTTCACGATTCAGTACATCGCAACATCATAAATATGTTAATCTTGAATGAAACGGTAGCAAACGTGTAAGGGAGACTTACTGCGCCACATGAGGGAGTGAATTTGTGTGGTCAGTCGCTGTTCTAGTACTGTGTCTTAAGAAGGTTCCTCCAATTGTTACTAAAGATTGACTGATGTTATTTATCATTATTAATAGTGTTTATTCATTTAAGAATGTACAGCAACGTTCAGAACTGATTCTGTCTTTTTTTTCAGATTTTTGACATTATAATTAGATTACAGTAATAATTAAAATAATGTACACTGACTCCACCAGGTTACCTGTTGGCAATAATACAGTGTTACATTTTTATAACACTTTTAGACAGTGCTTAAGTCAGTTTACAAAGCATAAACATAAAACTACCTGACTATATAAAAAAATTTGGGGTTGTGAGATATTTGTAATGTTTTTGAAAGAAGTCAATTATGCTCACCAAGGCCGCATTTATTTGATTAAAAATACAGTAAAACAGAAATATTCTGAAATATTATTACAATTTAAAGTAACTGTTTTCTGTATTAATATATTTTAAAGTGTAATTTATTCCTGTGATGGCAAAGCTGAATTTTCAGCAGCCATTTCTCCAATCATTCTAATATTTAGCATCATTCTAATATGCTGATTTGCTGCTCAAGAAACATCTCTTATTATTATCAATGTTAAAAACAGTTGTGCTTAATATTTTTGTGAAAACTGTGAGGTTTTTTCCCCCTCAGAATTCTTGATGTATGTAAAGCTCAAAAGAGCAGCATTTATTGGAAATATAAATATCTTGTAACATTATAAAAGTTATTTACTTTTAATACATTTAATGCATCCTTTCTGAACAAAAGTATTAAAAAAAGAAGAAGAAGAAAAAAAAAAAAAACCTTAGTGACTCCAAACTTTGAACGGTAGTGTAGACGGCACAGACAATATACAGTGCTGCAAAAACATCTGCTTGAATTTGATTCTGAGCACATTTGTACCATTTTGTGGGATCAGATTTTATTGTGGTTTGTGGTGGTATTTAGATGGTCTGGTGGTAAAATGGAGAGACAAGTTTGGTGCAATTTTTTTTGGTGTTCAATTTCAATGTGTGGAAAAAGTCATTGCCCTTAAGAAGCACCTGGATGATCCTCCGGGACAGACTAGATCATGTTATGGACAGACAAATCAAAAGTGGAACTTTTTACTAGACATGTGCCCAGTTACAGTTTGTTTGACGTGAACCAAACACTGCATTTTTAATCACAGCATTGTACATGCTACAGGCAAAGCATGACAGTAAGGCATCAGTCAATATAGTCCAGAGTGGTGCATGGATCCATCATCATGTGTCAAGTCAAAACAGAATCAACGTGGAAAATAAATTGTCCAAACATGTAGTCCCTGGTGTAACACAACCAAGACAACTCACGTCACAGATCGAGCTGATAAACACTGACATTGAAATGCTGAGCTAATATTATGAGTTTGGTGAGATATCAATGCATCCACACAGACAATTGTGTCAAATTGTGTTTTCTTAGTACTCTTCACCTTATTCTGAGAAATGAGTTCATCTCAGAGAGGTTACGACTTTTCCATTCGTCAGATAAGGTACAGTGCCTCCAAGATGGCAGAGATTCGATGTAGATTGACTCACCGACAAACACCCACATGCTCTTGACACATTCACACAGACCAATGATCTCTCCTCTGAATTCTGTCACTCCTGTCCAACCTTGAGCCGGCTCTACTGAACCCTGCAGAAGGTGGATCGATATTCCTGCTTGTTCTGACAGTTAATATTCATACAGCCCACCGTCCTGGAAAATACCAATCTGAATCAGCGCTTTTGCACTTTTCATTATTCTCACCTTCCCTTTTAGCATATTTTTTTTGTAGAGGAATTTTGACGATCCTCTCACTTGTTGTTTCTTCGAAGTCCCCCAAAACTGGGAATGTGTCTCAAAACCTAGTGATCTATATAACTTGATAGCCTTTTTTGGCCATTTACGATAGATATGCTTAGGATTTTGGCCAAAATTAAGTATCTTCATGGCTCAACAATAAGTTTGGCCTGTTGAGGTACAGTAACTGTCAATACATCTTATTTGTTTACCATGTTCTTGTGTTTTTATTTAGAAACTTATGCATAAGTTGTTTCTCTGATGGATTGTTGTTGCAATTTTATCTGGTTTAAATGGATTAAGAATTTAAATTTCAAGAATGATTTGTTATAAGTTCAAGTGTGATAAATTACCAAATACCATTGTTTTCCAGTTTATAATTTTATAGTATGAAAAAGAACAAAAATTGTGTATGAAGAAAGTGAAATTAAACGTTTAAAAAGTCATGGGAATGCCATAGAAAGTTCTGTTTATTTGTTTATTTTTTCCAATTTATTCTCAGTTCTCAAGTTTTTTTCTTTGATTAATAATGGAAACTTATTGGTCAGAAAGAGCAGGAACTCTTAATTTGGTCTAACATTTTTTTTTTTTACCTTATTAAAATAATTAAATCAATCTAATGTTTAATAGAAAGTATTTCTTTCTATCACACATTAATACAATTTTGTTTTTATAGTGCCATAAAAATGTTGGCAGTACAAAGCTGCATTATCGTCCCAAATGAGCCAACAGAAAAAAAAAAGCCCTGATTTTAGATGGTAGCATAATCTTGCTAACTACAGTTTTGAGATGACCTTCACATCAGAAGTGCAAATAAAGCTCTTTGAGTAGGCGGCTCACTAGATTTTTAGGCACAGCAATCTCTCCAAAACTTCAGCACTTTCCTTCCAAGTGTTTTTGGCTTGCTTGTATGTCTGTCTGAAGTTCTGTACACAGCTGAGGCCTCGCTACTAAGACAACAAGATTGTGTCCACACATACACGAAAGTTCAAGTCACACATTGAGAGAGTCGTGGAGTGCCTGTTCGGAGGTTGTAGAAGAAGACACCGTTGACAGGTCGGCAGTATCTCATTGTTCAGTTTGACTGCGCCCAGCACTCCAGTCAGTCCCCAGTCCAATTCCAGCTCTGCCCAGTGGATTAAACCAAGCTTAGTCAGCCTGACAGTGTGCGCTGCATCCAGACGTTGACATATTTCAGACTAAAGCGCTTTTTGAGTGAGATGAGTTTTGGGAGATGCGCTCTGGAGTGTGGGGAAAGTATGAATATCTTTCTCTCCCACCCTGTCTGTCTTTGACTCTCTCCGACTCTTTTAAACCACTGTCAAACTCTGCACGGTGAGGGAGAGAGAGAGTTTAGACATTTTTAAATTCCTCATCTGTCTCGGCTGCCATCAAACTGAATAAATGTGGGTTTGTAGTCATCATGAGGGATTCTTTAAGTGGTAAACACCACAAAGTTCAGAAAAACTCAAAACAGTCAAAATAATGAGAGATTGACGTCGAGTGCTTTGCTGCATGATTGCAGTTTTCAGATGTTTACTTCACTTGATTTGCTCCCACTTTAATATACTGGTACCTGTTGACTAAAATGACTGATGCCTGATATGGTCTAGTCTTGTGTAGCCACTCTTGAGCATAAAGTGTAGTCCACGTCGCAGATAGAAAGAAAGAGATTATCTAAGTGATGTGTAAAACAATATTTTATTTTATTTTAAAACTTACACTGTCAACTCTATACAACATAATCAGTGTGAGATTGTGCATGTAAACGTGTTAAAAATTATAATATGACAAACTTTTCCAAATCTACCTTCTAGGTCTTTCTCAGAAGCACTCATTCTAGTGAGTTCTAGCTTCTCAGATCTTGTAAACACAACCCTTCCTGGTTTACTGATAAAAACCTGTGCACCCTGAAGCACTTCTGGATATCGAGTAAAGCCAATCAATCAGATTGTAGGTTGCAGTTTTGAGAATGCGCTTGCCAATTTTGTGTGCACTAGACAGCATACCAACATACGGTTCAAGGACTGTCTGATTTAGAAGACTAATAACAGACCAGGAACTTGAAGACGTGAAAGTCAAGTAATTGTTGTTTTAAAGCCCTCTGAAATCAAAACTGGAGTTTTGTGGCTTTTCTTCCATGTCTGTTAGTTTTAAGGTCATCTACAGGCTAGAGTATTCCTAAAAGCAAGTACAATTTTTATCTTTTTCTTCTTGGAAAACAGACTAAACCATAATAATGCATTGATCTTGTTTTCAGGGGCAAGCACACATTTTTATCCAAGAAAATGGTCAGGCATTACCTGCTAATTCCATTTATGTCTGACATGCAATTGAAAGTAGCAAAGTTTTTTCCCCCCTTTTTCTTCCTTTTTCAGGTTGTGATGTAAACTAAAGGTTGGCTTTCAAAAGTTAACTTTCCACTTCAGTTCTTTCAATAGTAAAAACAACAACACAAAGAAATGTTATTGCAAATGCTAAACGACAAATAAGCATTTAATTGTGTACAATCTTTGAAACATAAATGAAATACAAATGATTTCTTAATCTTTGTTCCTCCACTGAGAGTCCATTCAGCCAACTTTGATACTTTAAGAAGTTTATAAAACGTAAGTAAACATAATCCAGAATT